GGGGGGGGGGGGGGGGGGGGGGCACATTCCCATCGGTAACATGGAACATGGATAGCATTCATACCCTCTTCATAAGCAGTGACGACCCAAGGATAAAAGTTATAAAAACCGACTCACTCACACGCTGGGAAAGGTCACACTGCGATTTCATACAGATATATACTGTATATATTTACACATTAAGGATTAATTGCTAATTGATTAAACCAAAGAAACTGGGAAATAAAAAGGAGCCACACTGTGAGGGAGGCCAGGGAATCTTCTGATGCAGAGACAGGGCAGGGTTGGCTGGGGGGGCCAGAGGACAGCAGCCTCACACCCACGGGCGCACGCCTCGGACAGCCCCCGGCTACTTTCCTGGGGTTCACGCCGGACGCCCGTGCTCTCACAATGGACTGTCAGTGTGGGAGGCAGCTAGAGCCACACTCTGCAGCAAGCGTGTCCATTTGACATCCACACGGATTGTTTTTGAAGCGTCCATAAGAATCTGTGATGGCCCACCTGAGGCGCACAGGACAGTCCAGGAGACCCTCGGCTGTCTGGTCCTAATCCTGCCTCCTCAGCACCCCCTAGTGGTGAGGGAAACATTTGGCAGCAGACCTTACAAGCTTGCGTGGGTCCCCGTTTCCTGGGAGACGGATGTCTGTAGCCACCTTCCAGCAGACTGGGGGTGGGAGGTGTGTGTGGAAGGGGGTTAACCCTGGGCCCCCTCAGGGCACACAAGCACATACTTACAGACAGCCCTCCACGGGATATCCTGACCCACAAGACCCGAACAAGCCTAATCCTCCAGAAAGTGCTGTTCCAGTTCCATGTAGGCCTGGTCGATGTAGCTGACGATGGCGTAGGGCGACGTCCTGTCCTCATCCAGCAGCACCGACACAGTCTCCTTCCAGTAGCTGAAGGGGATGCAGGAGCTCTGGGGGGAGATTCAGCGGGGGGGGGAGGATCAAGCACTGCGATAAGGTGATGGCATCGGCACAGCCACTATCATGGCCCGACAGCAGCAGTCTGGCTATCGCTGCACCAGCATTCAGAAACCAGCAGGGGGGGATCAAGAGTTACATTACGCCGGATGGATACTAGAGCTTCTCCATGTCATGAATCTCTTTTTCCTGACCTGAAAATGCAATACACTAAACATGAGGAGTAACTAGGCAGCAGCCAAGAAGCCTGAAAATTCTTTCTAAATACCAGATTCCTCAAAATAGCCACGGTCTGACCTAGATAACATCTACACCAATGTGAGGTATTCTGTTCAGACAAGAAAATTACAGACAAGAATATGCTGGCAAAATTGAAGAACTTCATGAAAAAATGTTGGCCATCCTGTCCTGGGGGGCGTACTCCTGTAACACCCTTAGCCACCTCCAGCCGTAACACAGGCTGGCACAGCATTTAAACACCACGATTTCACCATGACTATGCACACACCGCTTGCTATCCATTCATCCTGCCAGCTCCTCATCCGCGGCTGCTTTGCTCTGGCTGTTGCGGCCGTGGGAGACGGGGCAGGCCAGCTCACAGTTTGATCTGTCCTTCATAGTGCTCCTTTTCCAGGCAGTTCCTGCTCACAGGTGCACGTTTGTTCATTATCTTACCCAATCAGCGGTGAATAATGTCTACTTTTCAGAGCGAGCGTGAATATGGTCTGTAGAGCAGGATCGCTCACACCCCGGCCCGGTATTGTATATTCACACGGACGGGGAACGGCGCCCAGCACAGCCGCCTGAGAGGGCATGGGGCCGGCAGCCCGGGTCCTCGCACTCACATTCTCCAGGCAGGTGCTGTCCTTGTCCTTGTTGAGGTAGTGCCGCTGCCAGAAGCAGAGCAGCTGGTGGAAGTTGTTCAGCAGACAGCCTGGGTACCTCTCAGTGTATTCCTTCTCCCGCAGGGCGCCCAGGTACCAGGCCAGGCGGCCATGACGGCGTGCCAGCATCAGGATCACCAGGCTGGTGTTCAGGCAGCTCACATTCTCCTGGGGGGGGGGGGGGGAATCACATGACACAGTTTGAATGTGTGCACATACTGCAGGTGCATGTTTGTAGTTCGGACCCAGACACGCCAGGACAGACAGACACCAGCATCCAACAGAGGATGCAGACGGTCAGATGTGTGTCATGTGCAGCCCTGACCCAGATAAGCAGATAGAAGATGGAGGGATGGAGGGAGATAGGAGGGGAGCGAACGGCAGCGGAGGCCTTGCCTGCGTCAGCGTCTGCACATTGATGATGTTGATGAGCCTGAAGAGGAAGGCCAGCCGGTTCTCCACGCGAGCCAGGTGGGACAGCAGGTGACACTGGGAGAGCGTCTCCACCACTGAGGACAGAGTGAGGGACACCTCTCAGTGCAAAGGGCATCGGGCAGAACACACCAGACCCCCCCCCCACTATGCCGAAAGGCCTGCGGGGCAAGGAGAGGTCAGGGTCCAGGAAGATCCCTGCATCTGGACACCGGAGCAGGAGCAAAGGACAAATTTTTCCATCCTATTCTTTCCCTCGAGTTTGTCCGTCTTTTCCTTAAAATCAAGACTGGCACACTTACGGAAAGCACAGATAAAAACTACACATAGAGCATCACCGATCTCCCACCATCACTGTCTCATGCTGGTTCATTACAAATCCTGCACTATCCTGGTTGGCTGCATCATTTTCACCTACACTGTCACGCCAACCCCCCCGGCTCCAGGCCGCCCCGTACCTTTGACATCCTCCGACTGGCTCTCAAACCGGTCCAGCGACAGGACGATGCATCGCACTAACATGTTGGAGTCCACCAAGGAGCTGTTAATCTGCGTCAGAAAGACCTGAAACTGCAAACAGGTAGGGTGGGATGGGGGTGAGGCGGCGGGGCGGGGTCGATGTGCAGGCCGAGCAGGCGGGGATGAGGGCCCACCTTCTCTTCCGTGTTGACGTATCGGTCGAACCTCTGGAAGGCATCGATGTTGAACTTCATGAGCTCGCCCAGAAGGTCGAAGTAGCTCTGCAGCACATCGCGGGACTTGCACCCGCTGTCAATGATGCAGAACAGGATGTGCTGCCACAGAAATGGCTCGTGAGGAAGGGAGCAGCGGCACATGTGATGGCGCATCGCCATGGCGACGGTGGCATTGAGGGCGCCCTCACCTCCAGCAGACCCCTCTTCAGCAGGAACACCTGGTCGGCGTAGGACGTGGCCCCCCGGAGGAAGCTCTCCACGGCTCGGGCCTGCCAGAACCTGCAGGGAATCAACACGTACGGCTCCAGGAATCACATGGGCTGGTCACGTCTCGCTGTCAGTTCTGCCACCAGGCCAGTATTTATACCACCCAAATCACAAATTCGCATGGGGCCTCCTGTTGGGCACAGACACTACACTGGGGAGAGTGGTGGGGGGGCCCAAAGTGAATTTTTGAGTGGGGCCCCATAAATAAACCAGCACCTGCCTGGCCTCAAATTTGGGGCTGCATCCCCATCCCCCCCCCCAGTTGCTCCAAGGAGGCCAGCACCTGAAGGAGGAGTCTGGAGGCTCCCGCTTCATGACCGTGAGGAGCCGCGTCAGGAGACCCTTCTTCCCATCACACACCAGGCTCCTGCAGGAGGTGACAAGACACAGTGAGCGCTATGCTGACCCTGATGGTCATGCTAATGCTAACGCTAACCCAGACACTAAACCTCTTGGACCAGGGGGACTCTCATGGTACCTGTCTGTGTTGACCAACGCCTCCACCTCCGGGATGTTGGCCTTCAGAGAAATGGCACTTAGCTCATTCAGCTCCTGGGTGTTCAGGAGCAGGTATTTGTTTCTAAAACAAGGACAGTATTCCTCATGAACACATCTGCAAATGGAATGATAAAGCAGCAAGACCCTACAGAGCAGGGGGGGGGGGGCACTCACTCGTGGTGGTCACTGAAGCTCTGAAGGAGCCTCAAAAACTGTATCTTGAAGGAAATTTCCTGAAGAGAGAGAACAGCAGTCAAGGCACAGGGGCCTCAGAGGAGCAGCACAGTATACAGCCAGCAGGGGGCACTCTCACCGGGCTGCAGTCACAGTGCTGGTTCTGAGCGTGCAGCACGTGGCTGGATGATGTGTACTTCCGCCAGATGAGCTTGTCGAACAGGTTGTTGAGGCCTGGGATGAGTCGGTACTCTGCCAGCATCCTGTGCACCTGCCGGGGCAAACGGATGTGAGAGCATGTGACCCGTGAAAACACACACACACACACACACACACACACACACACACACAATCCGGTAAAGAGAGCACGCCGTTGGCCACTAATCACAGCAGGAGCAATGCTGCCATCTGCAAAGACCTGCACTTACTATGCAGTAAGCTGGTCACACACTGAGGCAGATGCTTAAGGCTGATGTTAGACAGCATCCAGTTATAAACGCCACAACATCGAACAGACAGAGTCCCGCGAAAGCAGCCTGGCGAAGGGGGGGTTCCTGAGGCTCACCTGGTTGCGCTGGCGGCCCATGAGCATGACGCAGAGCACGTAGAGGACCTCCACCTTGTACATGATCTCATGCACCACTTTCATGGAGCGTGGCAGCCGGTGCCTCAGAGGGCTGGCAGCCAGAGCACTCTCATCCGACGACTCTGGGACGCATAAACAGGCGATATCATACATCATCACACACATCTGTGTGCCTGGGCTAAGCTGGTTAAATAGTAAACTAAGTAAACTAAATTAAGCCGTCAAAAACAAAAGGATTACCACAAAATACTGGGTCATAATTCTGGTACATTTGGTCAATTACACACCTCAATTACCCCCTCTGCCCAAGCGTGGGGATTGAACTGTGCTTCATCACACTGATCAGAGCTGAAGGACTCACAAAGGGCTCATGCGCAGCCCATATTACACCCACATTTATTTCAATTGGCAGATACTTTTGTCCAAGCGACACTCGAGTGAGGATTGGGATTTGAGAAAGCAACCTTCCATATGAGCACACATGCTGAGCCCTGGGACCTACATACTACCATAAACAGCTTCAATGAGAGAGCAGATGATCATTCACCTTCACTAAGGCTGGGTATTCACACAGGTTAAATACATGAAATATCTACAGTTTATATAACGTAGGAATGCTGGTGAGTGAAATACAGCCACACCTTAGACCGTCTAGTCTTAGGCATTTTAACCGTGTTTAAGAAGCTACTAGCTAACATCTGCTGTCATCAGGGTGAGTGTAACGTTAACTGAGGTGCAGTGATGCTTCTGTTGCCTGGGCACCAGAGGTCAAATATTTCAAAGACAGCTTGGGCTATTAAGCACCACTGACATCTGCATCGCAATATGCTCCAGTGCAACCCTATGTTTATGCATGGCGGAAATTAACCTAAAAAAAGGGGAAAAAAAATTACCCTAAAAGTTCAACCAGTAAATCTTACAGATAAATATTGAAATCGGACAAAAAAAAATTAAACAATTATTGCAAAAACCAATATTTTTGCACGCTCCTAAGCTAATTTCTATATCAGGATTCTTTACCCACCGGTGTGGATTAAATACCTTACTCAAGATATCGGGTCTCCTACTGAACTTGAGTCAACAACTTCTTGGTCACAAACCCACCCACAATCTTAAAGAAGTTTTTAAGAGTATTGCAGTCAAATGCAAATCAATCAGATTCTGTGGTCTGTAAAATACATGTGCACCTCTAGTGTCTTGCCTCCACTACACATGTGCACACCTTACACACACAAGAAATTTATGCTGAGCTCCTTTTTCACGCTATAAAAATCACTATTTTTATTATAACAAAATCACACGTCACCATATTGGAATTTTTCCAAATATTGTGCAGCCATATTATATTACAGCAGATAGTTTGTCATGTCATGTCATCCTGATCTTCTGGATCTTCTGACCAGATCACAATTAAAGTTGGATCTCTTCATTTGTCCACACATACAGTACTGTGCAAAAGTCCATTCTAAAGGAATGTTTAAAGCTGTTTATCTGGGTAGCAAGTGTACTTTGGCTTAGAACAAAAAACACAATTTAACATTAGAACATGTGCAAATTCTAAAAAGTTCCTGATATCTAGTTGGATGGCTAGATGAACACCGTTCTGAAATGGCTAAGCTGACGCACTTTGACAGGAATAATATCATAGTTTTACACCAATACGAGGATAATCTAAACATTTTCTTTGCCTGCCTAAGACTTTTGCACAGTACTGTACATTATAACTTTTTTTTTTTTTTTTTACTTAATTTAATATTGGTTTCTGAGTTTGTAACTTTTTCTCGACACCAATTGTATTGTGTTTCAGAAACTGGCTATTTCCATAACTAATGAACAATACACACCCCAAAATACTGAAATACCAAATAAGTACTCCAGCTGATTTGGTACTGGTACCTGACCGGAAGTCAGTGCAGAAGGGAAAGTACCGAAAATGCAATGGAAAAGTGGCCACACATAGACCTGCACACGCACACAAAGATCAGGACCATGCAGTTTCACCACTCTGCCTTTAGGCGGCGCTACCTGTGCTGCTCTGCTCCGCCTCCGAGCCGTTGATCTGGATGAGTGCATCCAGCACCAGCGCATTGTCCAGCCAGGCGTACCAGTCTTCCAGTTCCTGCAGGAAGTTGGAGGTGTCTGTGGCCTCCGACACCTTCCGCGTGGCCAGCTTGCAGAGACGCTCGATGAATCCAGGTATTCCCAGCAGAGTTACTGTCCAGGAATGGGGTGGGGATTCAGGACAGAGGAATCAGCTATAACCCTTTGGTCTTACTTTGCTCACTCATGCCACCCATGCCTGTACCCCGGAAAGATGCACTGGGGCAGAGCGTGCCCAACCTTGGTTGATCTCAGCCTGGGATGGGCCAGAGTTCTTCCTCTGCAGGGCGTTCTTGGCTAGTAGGGTATGCTTGTCATCGTGACCGAGGTCGGGCTCAGAGATGGTGACGGATAGGATGCGGCAGAAATTGGCCAGTTGCTGCTGGTCGAAGCTCTGCACCAGGCCAGCCAGGTTGGGGATGCCCTCCAGTTGGATCATGTCCTGGGGAGCGAGAAGAAGGGCATCATGATTATGGCCACATCCCCACACTCAATCTCTTACAACTTTATACCCAACACATATGTTTGCTTAATCCATCAGGCTTAACTGCCATGGCCAGATTTTAACAGGCACTTCACTTGATCCCTTGACATCCTACCTTAGAGTTCTTAGCGTCTTACTAACTTTAATCTTATTGGCAGATACATTCTTCACATCCAAGTCAACAGAAGATCCATCAACTGTGAACTGTGTAGTGAGACTACATGAAAAGTAGACGCCACAATAAACGGAAAAGGAATTAGAGAAAATTATCTGAATGGCTGGGACCGCCAGACCTTTTTAACGCCCAAGATGTCCTCGATGAGCGTGGCGGTCTGCAGGAAGGTCTTCTTATTCGTCATCAACGTGAAGAGGAAGAGGACAAAGTCATCTCTAGCCGCAAGACTTTTTGTGACACCTTCCGTCTGAGAGGAGGAAAGACACAGAGTCTCCAGATCCCGCTGAACCATCATCTCTTTGGAAAAGCACCTGGGTCCAAATGAATACAAAGAGGACTGGTGCCTCCTAAGTGAAGTGCGTTCGACGCAGTCCAACCCCCACTAAGCCATGACTGCTTAGACTTACACATATGCAGCAGTTGTAGAGAACACTTAGACAGTCCTTGATGAGGTCATCGTTCACTGTAGGGGGAGAGAACACAAATAAGGCTACTGCTGCCTACAAAGCATCCGTCCTCATAGCCAGCTCAATGACACCAGACAAAAACGTCACTGGTGTAACTGCTCTGCACCATAAGAAGGGGGATTTCAGTAAATTCAGAGCCTTCTATACATCCATCATTTGACCACAGGGGGGCAACAGGAGGAGAGTGAGCCCATGCCCATATTCCTAAGCTGCGTCTAGCTTACTCTTCGGTTTCTTCTTCTGCGTTGACAGCGTGGGCCTCATGAGCATTTCAAGCAGGAGCTGTGTAAAAAGAAAGAGCAGCTATGAAAGGCACAAACACAGGGCGTAGTACCCAACCCCCGAATCACAGAGCAGCTGAGAAAGGGTGTAAACACAGGGCGTAGTACCCAACCCCCAGATCACAGAGCAGCTGAGAAAGGGTGTAAACACAGGCCATAGTACCCAACCCCCAGATCACAGAGCAGCTGCGAAACGGTGTAAACACAGGGCGTAGTACCCAACCCCCAGATCACAGAGCAGCTGCGAAAGGGTGTAAACACAGGGCGTAGTACCCAACCCCCAAATCACAGAGCATCTGAGAAAGGGTGTAAACACAGGGCGTAGTACCCAACCCCCAAATCACAGAGCAGCTGAGAAAGGGTGTAAACACAGGGCATAGTACCCAACCCCCAAATCACAGAGCAGCTGTAAAAGGGCGTAAACACTGGTCGTAGTGCCCAACCGCTGAATCACAGAACGCTATTAAAAGCACATAAATATGGGGTGCAGTAACCAACCCCCGACTCACACTCTCAGCACTATTCAGTCACACTCCCCTCACACTTTGTGTCTAAAAACTCACATCAACGCCCCCAAAGAGGTCGAAGGTGTACGTGTTGGGGAAAGTGGCTTCCTGGGCGAATTTCCTGTCTTCAGTCACAAGAGACATGGCCTCCATGGAGAGCAGGGGTGACATTTCCTGGAAAACAGTAACCCAGTCACCCTCTATGCTAAGGACCAGGGACATCCATGCAAATGCTGATGGGTGGGAATCAAACTCACAACCTAGGGGATGAGAGGCCACAGGGCTAGCCAGATTTAATGCATATCCCCTACATTTCCAGAGAAGCCCATAAAGCACATTCTTCCCTCCCCCCTGAACATCCAGACGGGTGGTGACAGCCCACACAGGCATTGGGATGGGCAGAAAGGGCAAAGGGTCCCCATGGGTGTCAGGGCGACTCACCTTGAGCACGGCGTGGGCCCGGCTAAGGTCGCTGTTAGGGTGGCTGGCCTCATGCAGCCTCCGCAGCAGGATGGGGATACCATGCCAGCGTGCCCGGTGGTCCCGCTCGTGGAGCAGGGCTTCTGGCACCTGGGGAAGGGCAGAGGTGTAGTCTCAAAAGAAGAAGAAAAAAAGAAGAAACAAGCTGTTTTGTTCAGGTTCTGCCTACCATAAGCGGGTTATTAAAGGACAGCACTTACGGTAAAACCGCGACAGTCCAGTGCCAAAATAAATCCTTTCCTGACAATCAAACCCCACCATTCAGCCGCTTTATATGCAACGCGACTTTTAAATTAAACCCACGAGCGGGGATACGGAGGCTCCAGCATCCCCTCCGACCGCAGTGGGACGCCGAGCCGCCAGCGGGCCGGCTGGAGACCCTGGAGTGACGCGTACGGCAAGCGAAGACCCAGCCGAGGTCACCGCTAACCCCCTCAAAAGGCACTCCCCCAAGCACAGCTCACCCCGATAAAGCTCCTCCCCGGCATATTACACGTAAATTCGGAGAGACCCGGGACCTCGCTGGGGTATGGGACCGCAGACCATGTGGGCTTAATAAATCCTGAAAATGGTGTAGAGGTGCCGGCCAGAGGCTCTAAGTGGCTCTCGAGGGCCGGCCATCCACGGCGAACCGAAGCCCCACAGGGACGCCGCCTTCCCGGTTCTGCAGCCCTGCTCAAGTTCCGCTTTTTTGGCATCCTGCTCCCGGCCGTTCCGCTCGGATGACTTATTATTGTTGTTGTAGTTGTTTTTGTTGCAACTGCTTGACTGCACCCAGCGAGCGTGTCCGTCGTCGCTGAGTCTCACCGACATAGTGGTTCGCACCACGGCGACCTCCCGTACGTCAGTCCCAGGCTGTGAGCGGCCTTCCCCATACGAGCGTACCTGGACGGGGCTCAGCGCTGCCGGCCGCTTCAGGCGCGACCTACCTGCGTCCCTCGACAAATCCCGCGGCCGGTGATCTGGCTCCGGTTGATCGTCGTCACTATGTTCCCGCCGCGGTCGCTTCGCGTCGCCCCCGTCCGAGGGGACTCGGGCCCCGCAAGCGTCGCCATCATTCTTTCTTCCGTAAGTGTCGCGAGCAGGAAAACGTGAGCGCGCGGACGGACAGCGGCGTCTCCAGCGCCATCTGCGGAGCGGCCGGCCCAATCCCCAATATAACGTCATTCAGGAGCCGCTGCTGGTCGCTCGTCCTGCTTTTGGTTTTTTCTCGCGCGTAATACTAATGTTGAGAATTTTTATTGTGCATTTTTAAACATTTTTTCAAGGGCTGGAAAATACTATAATGACTAGTGGTTTTGCAGATGAGGTTTTCTGCCTGAAACTGTGGCTATGTATTACCAATCCCGCTTGACTGTAATATAGCTGAATCCAAATTTAAATGAGTCTGAAACAGGAAACCTGCCTTAATTGAATCATCATTCCCGCGATTAAATTATGGAGGACTAATTTCTCAGCTTTCACAGATATATTATAGTTTTAATTTCAGTGTCCATGAAGTAACACACTTGGAGATGGAGATGGAGATGCACATTGAACATGCGCATGGTGTCTGACGCCCTTTTAACTCGATTCTGCCAAGCACTGCTTTGTGAGATGTCAGATGCCAAGAACTATCATTTGCTTTTTATCCTGGGAGGCATCGACATGTATCAAGAATTAACCAGGAGGGGGCAGTAGTGCGCTAACATAGAGGGGAGAAAGTGACGACCATTTTAGTTGTAGCATGACAAACCTGCAGAGTTCAATTGATTTGAACAAAAGTTTAAAAGGGCATTTAAAACAAAACTTCAGAGGATTTTTTTCAACAAAACATTTTTACAAAAAAAAATATTTCAAACAAGACAATACCATTACATTGCACTTTGTATATATTCCGTATATACATAAGTAAACATTCCATAAGGTTAAATCATTCTTCGTTCAATGAAACAATCCATACAAATTATGAATGATTGGGCTTGTTTCTCGTATATTCCGAGGAGTGCTTAATCTCACCGCAAGGTGGCCCCAGTAACTATTTTCTATAAATTCTGGACGTAAAGATCCTGCTTCCATGCAGGTTATTGGTTGTTGAACAAGTGAGGTACCCTTTGTACGCTTATCTGCCCATTCGTTTTTGTTTACCTCATATCCAATTCGGATCACGGTGGTCCAGAACCTGTTCCAGTCCGGAAAAGCAGAGCCCATTTCGAGACATTCACAACATACTAACTCACGTACACCAACTATTACATATGAAGGGAGAGTCACCATTTAATCGAACGTAATGCATCTTAGGGCTGTGGAATATTCGTTTATTATATGATAGATAAATTGTACTTAAATACAAACTTGAAAATACAGAATGACCGCATAAACAAAATATTGCTTACTTGATTTTGTGACATCCAATATAATGTCGAGTATAATTTGTATAATCTATTTTTATAATTTTAAGGATGGAACCACATTGCTAGTTCAGGGATTTGAACCAATGCCCTTCAAGTTATAATTCTGAATCCTTAACCTTTATTGTACAGCATCTGAACATATAATACTGTATATGCACACAGATTTAATTATATACTATAATTTATGACCTCTTGAAAGTGGAGTGTATAACACGATCCTATATAGTTAGCAGGTAGTGATTAAAGACCTCAGATTGTGGCAAAGGCCTCTCAAACAGCCCAAGTGTTCTATGCATGATTAACAGAGTTATGTGTGCTTGAATGTGTAAAATAGGAACCTTCTCAGGCCGTGCATTTACTGAAATCCACTTTCTTATGATGCAACTTTTATCCGGCCGTCACTATAATCTGATCATAACACACTGGATTTCTGTAAGGGGAGGGGCTCACAGTGCAGTGTTTGAAAAGCTCAACTGTCATGGTGGATGTGATAGCTGTATTCAACGTGATCTTAACAAAGTATCCCATGTAAGAGTCTGCTTAAGCATTTGAAAATGAAAAGTAGCATAATGGCTGATGATCATGAAGACCCATCATTGCTGGAGATCACAGTCTGTTCATAATTCAGGTTCAGGTTCAGGTTCAGGTTCCTTTATTTGTACCCATAGGTAGATTTGGGGCGCAGTCATGAGTCATACATCCTACATACACACTTCAACACAGGAACAACTGACAACAAAAACAGCTTAAATACAACTTACGCTAACGCTATGATCTGTTTATCAGTGTGATGGCTGCTGGAACAAAGCTGTCTTTAAATCTGTTCGTTCTACATTTTGGGACCATTACCCTTCATCCAGAGGGAAGAAACTGAAACTCACTGTGCAGAGGGTGTGAAACGTCAAGAAGAATTGAACCATCCAACCACTTTAATGGAGGCAGGACTGTGTCCACAGAGCAGATTTCAATCTGCAGTTGGACTTTGCTGCATAATGATCAGTGTCCTGTTTGCCCCTTGTACTGTCCATCGATTTTCAACTACCATTTTCTTAATTTAGTCTATCCCAGAGGCTACGGACATAAAGCAGGGAATAACCCAGGATGGGGCACCAACCCATCACAGTTGCCCATGCACCATTCACACCTATGGACAATTTGTCATATTTTTGGACTGTGGGGGGTAACCCCACAATGACATGCACGAACATGCAAACTCCACACGTATAGACCGTGCCATCCCCATCGTAATGTGTGCGTCTTAAAACTGGTGTCCAATTTCAGGCACTGAAAATGAGTAGAGCTCAGCGGTGATGCAACAAGATGAACCATCAAAATCTAACTTAATATACAGCAAAATAAAACATTAAACATTTAAATATGTATTAATCTGAATTCGGTGATTATTTAACAATTGTCTTGTGAAAACAGCCTAATTTAGGTGTCCTACTGCTTTGATTTGCTTTGCGGATGCACTTCATTTTGTGGGATTTTTCACTGAAACAAATGTGCTTAGACTCACTGTTCAGGTTAACAGTGTTCGGCTATCAGCCTTTTGGCCCCTACGGCTGATATATCTGTCCTGACCTCCGCCCCCCCCACACACAGACACACACACACAGACACATAAAGCGGTATCCCGGAAATGCCTTGTCATGTTTTTCGTTTATTTCTGTTTTAGGTGTTGCTTTGCCATCACATTTTCCTTTAACACTATTAGCAACTGGAAATTTCTCCATGGTTCCTCCAAGTATGTCAGCATCAACTCAGCAACTTTTCTACCGTAAACTTTTGTTACATTATTACTCATAACAGCTTGATGCATTGTAGTGCATGTCTGTTGTACACATTTTTATTATTTTAAGTTGTTCGTGCCATATGATGTGTACAGGAATATAAAGTCTTTACATTATTTTTAATATCTCTGAAGCTTACAATTTCAAAATAGATCTACCCCCCCAATTCAGTTTTTTTCCCTTCACCTGCACCCCCGTGCACACCCAACAGTTTGAATAACATCTGGTCTACTTCTTACTTACCTCATACTTATAATGATACTTCACTTAGATAGGCGGGTCCACAAAAACTGACCAATCGGCATGAAGTTATATGTTTTCTCTATATAACAAGATAGTTATTAAGGAAGTGCCACATAAGGACGGGGTGGGACCGGATTCAAACCCCCAACCCTAGAGGTATGAGCCATTCTGCCACTCCTAGAATTAGGGTAACCATATTCGGTAAGATGAAAAAAGACTAATTCACCGACCAATCAGGTAGTATTTTTCTCATGAATATTAATGAGTTTTCCCTATCTACCCTGTTAAATGAAAATTTGTGTCAGGGGAAACCTGGTCGTATGGTAACCCTACCCAGAATGAACATTTGAAAAACTATGTTTTACGTCACCTTTTGTGTCACATTAACGCCTATCAATAGAGCTCTTTTCTCCTGAAAATTATGTCTCGCTCAAGTCTTCCTGCAAATCTTCCCTTAATGGGTGGTTTGCCATTGATGTGGTGATGGTTCGGCGGGCTGATGTGTTGCCATGGAAAGTCCACACTGGCTGAAAGGTGCAGTAAAAAATGCAAAGAAACCGCATCAGCACCAGCCTTCATGCCATTGTACCTTCTGAGAAGACAAGGAGTCTACAAGCGATGCTATATCGTCTTGGCCTCCACGTTAGCCACAAGCTTAACACCTGTGCGCTAAATTCGCAGCGCACTTCCGTGCAAAGATGCAGTGGTGTCATGTATGGCAATCACAGGGTTTGCAAAACCAAAACAGCATCACGGTTACGTTGGGTCAGAGAAAAGGATCTTTCTTTTTCAGTGAGTGAAAACGTGGGGTGATGCATTCAAATCAATTTCAGGAAAATTCTGGGAAATGAATTTAGAAGTTGGTTTATTTTTTTGCAATTGAGCAAAAATCCGTTGAAATAGCAGTTAAAATAATCATGACAATATAATGTTCCCTACTGGAATGGTTTAAGTTCACAGTAAACTGTGTGCAAATGTAACCTACCAGTCAAAAGTTCTTGCACACAAAAGTTTGATTTTTTACATTTGCATGTTACTCACTAAATACACAAAATACTTTGCTAACAAATACATTTACAGTATGTTCACCACTTGAGTACCTTTATTAGCAAGAAAATGTCACATTTTTGATTAATCAAAGTAACCCCTCTGGCAGTTACAACAGCAGAGAGAATTCAAGGCCGTCTTTCTACAAGGGACATAAAATTTTGCTCTTTTTCATGGGAAGAACCAGTAGACTAGTACATTTAAAGTTAAAGGAGAGTCTACGATTTGACTTTGCCATCAACACACAATCAATTAATAGGATGTCAGACCTGCATTATGTATTTCCATGTTATAAAGGAAACGTTTAATTTGACTTATATTTTCATTTATAGTTGTTCACTCAACTTTCCAATGCTTAACAAGAATAAAAAATCAGCAGTTTATGAAATAAATGGAAAAGTGGTAAAAACCTGTGGTGTGTAACAACCTTTGACTGGTGTTGTACCTGTTTTACATGAAGTGTTGGCTTGTTCTTTTTTTAAACATAGAGCCACCTCTGCCGGCTCAGCTGCTATTCCGGGTGAAGCGGCTGCCTTTGTGGCCCAGTTCAGACCCCTCAGCTGCCTTTCTGGTGCTGCCTTCGGCACGGAAACCACAAAATCCTCCTGCCGTTGTGCAGCCGGACTGTTTCCTCCCCCGTCCTTGCTGGGGCGCTCTAGCCATAATCTGAGCTCCAATAGCTGGCTTCATATGATCTCAGTCTTTG